GGTGAGGCTCGAACTCACGACCTTCAGATTATGAGACTGACGCGCTGCCTACTGCGCTACGGAAGCTCACTCATAGGATGGCCCTACTTTACACATCACTTTATGTTCCTAGTACCGTACTAGTAACCATATCATATTGCAAACACTTGCTCCCTATGAGTCTCGCACACACTACCTCAGATTATACTGAGGTGCTTACTGCTACGAAAATTCATATATAACTGAATGTCCTCGATTCTTTTGCAACCATCAGTGATTAAGTAATACAGTATGAGCAACCATACCTTTTGCAAAACACCTGCTGTAAGAATTGAAGTAGCGACCGTAAGATTTCGACAATCTACGCGTTCTATGCCGCGACACATTAGCAACCATGCACTTTACAGAACACACCTGATCTCGTTTTCTCATTAATTGCCCTTATACTCCGGCTGTTTCTTAATCTTGACATGAAGAAGTCTGCTTTGGACGTATTCCAAAATGTTAAACACCCCTTAACTAGAGCTAAGGTTTCTGCGCTATCGCCTTTGCCAGAACTTAGAAATCAAACACATTAGTACTGAGACATGAGCATCGCTGAAGGTTAAGTTCAATAAGGAAGTACGGGTGTATGACTTTATAAACGATAGCTCCAATTCACAAACGCAGTGGGCTTGAGCGCGCCTAACAAATTTTCGCTTTCGGGCCGACTGATGTAGGCACTCCGCTCTGCACTGTTTTATACTCTTAAATAGAAGACATCAAAACAATACCTGGACTCTAGCAACCGTAAAATTAAATCTTCTTCAAAGAATATGTTTTGTGAGGATGCAATAACATGTTCAATTTCGAAGTCTTGCAACAAGCTCCAAGACACTCGTAACAGTTGCGCGGTGCATTTTTCTGATTGGATTTTTTCAACTTGCTACAAATGCAGAACTCAAACTCAAGAAGTTAACACAAGATTTCACATTATTAGACTGACGCGCTGCCTATTGCCCAATGAAATCTATCTAGAAACCTTAATTTGTACCTATCTAGTAGTCTACCTTGTAGTTTCTTTGAATAGCTACAACTCATGTTACTGTGATAAAGTCCTTAAGATTCGACATAATTCTTGTAGGAACATGAAACAGTAGCGTAGTACACAGAGCACAGAAAGTTTCTCTGAGATTTCTGTAAGTTGCTTTCATTTTGATACGTACACATCAACAAGAAAATCAACAATAGCGTATTATTATTGTGAAGTAGAAAAGAAATTATCCAGATACGCTTACTCTCGAAAAGGTTTCAGAGCAAACATTTTAACTTTGTACATCCCAGGTGGAAATCCTGTTTGAACGTTTTCTGCTACAACTCTTAATCCTGCCCGCTCAAATAGTTCCAAAACAAGCTTTTCTGGTCTCGTCCAACTGTTGTCCTCACTATCAAATTCTGAATCTTGTTGAGCAGAGAGGTTGTCTTTGAATACGATGACGCCTTCTTTGTTGATCCCATCCTAAAATAGAGTGCTGAGATCGCAGTATTTGCGGTGAAAACCTTAATCACTCATACTAACTATGCAACGCTTTAGAAACTGGACCATATCGCTATCAGTAAGGTGACCAGAACACCACTGGATCCAAACCATATCGAAGTTGGCGGGTTCAGGATGAAAATTTTGAAGCCCAACAGGAATTCTCGTCACGTTGCCATTGTCGCCTGAGGATATCATTCTTGATCGTATAAACCATTAAAGAAGAGCATATGTGTATCAGCTTATGAATCTCTACTATTAGAATAAAAACTCACCCACATAACTAACGCTTTTTTCAAGCAGTTCGGCTACTGGCTCGACCATAACGACATTCTTGAAAATAGGCAGTAGTAAGTGCCGCGTTACTCTTCCGATACCAGCACCACAGTCAGCAGCTCGGTTTGTGCTAATAAGAAAATTCTGTAAAGAAACCGGGAAAAATCAGAACAGTCACAATATATAGAAGAGAATTGTGATTGAATGAGTTTTCACTTTACGCCATGAATCCCAATCATTGCAATCAAAAGTGTCTCTGGCTTTGTCGACTTATTAAAATCGGAGAAAGAGGAAGTCGCGCCGACGCATGACTTGAATAAGAGATGAAAATTCATACAGTATGTGAACTGAGAATTAAAATACATGGTAGGTTCTCTCTACGGGATGTTGTCTCTTAACAATAGCCACACAAACCTTTCTGGGGTGACCGAAATGAAAAGACGCAAAAGGCAACTACCCGTGTTGCACACATTATAGTATGGCGCGATAATCTCAGAAGAGAAGATAAGAAATAAAATAAGGTTTATCGACTGGGCCCTCTATGCAACAGACAACGCGTATTTTGTACAACATTTACGTGCCTGTCTCCGTATATCACAAGTAGCCAATATGTAGTCAACGACATCTAGAATAGAGGAGAAAAACAATGCTTTGGATTACCCATTTGAAATGATAGGATTGATAATAAACTAAAAGTACCACTTCAAAACGAAGGTTACCCGCTATGCACTCCATGACGTAAGGAAAACCCGTGTTTACTATGCTTCTAATTAGCCACAGCAAAAAGTTGTCACAAGACGATATGAAAATAACATAGCACAATTAGTGTTTAAGAGATAGGTCAATCCGATCGCGAGGTAGGTAGCCCAAAAATTGTTTTCTAATTGAAGTATGTGCAAAATAATTTCAAACTCATAAATTGAACTTTTAAAAAGCGAAGAATTGACTTAGTAGATCAACTCATTCGCTCGTTAAAAATTACTCAGAAACTGATAGTTTACAAAAAATGGGAAATGCCAAGGACTTCAAAATTGACGACTAAACCGACTACAAATGAGAGCTATAAAATTTGGATATTAAAACAATAACGTAAGCAGACTTCTCATCGCTACATAACACAATCATGGTGCCACCACTCAGCTCTCATTATTGAAGCAACCAAGACCCATAACAAGCTGACTTTTACATGGATAGTTGACAATGTATTAGTGCCTTTAGTTCAAACGACGAGAATGGATTAATCAATTTCTTGAAAAATTATTCGCCGCTATCACACTGTCCCTATCAACAAATTCACAATTTCCAGATTTCGTTAAAGCTTTACTAAAGAAAGGAGAGGGAGGGGAGGATATGCGACAGGCTGATCAAAAGTATCGCATATGTTCGCTTTCTAGGCATTATAGGGATACAGTAAGAACATGGTAGGAGGCCAAAATCAAAAACTGCCTCGTGGATAAGAAGCTTGCTCAACATGCTGATCATGAATATCACGTCCATTACGTGCAATGAATGTACAGCACGGTTGAACTCACAAA